GATGGATGGATGGATGATGGATGGATGGGCAGATGTATGGATGTATGGATGTATGGATGGATGAGTGGATGGATGGATAGATGGGTGGGTGGATGGATGTATGTATGGATGGATGGATGATGGATGGATAGATGGATGATGGATGGATGGATGGACGGATGGTAGGTGGGATAAACAGAGTAAAAGTGTAGCTCCTAGTTAGTCACAGAAGATCGTATCTTTAGCCCTGATACATGGAGGACTGAGTTGGGCAAGAAGGTTCTGGGCCAGCCTGTACCAAAAACTAAGTGTCTTACAAAACAAAAAGCATAGCTCCTCCGACAGCAGTTTCCACTTTATTACACATACTTGGTGAGTCCTGCTGGAGCACACAGCTGCCAGATCGAGACACAATGTCCCAGAATTCCAAACCAACCTTGTTCCGGCAACAGCACCATCATTCTTCCCCAAAGGCTCGTCTAATTCCACACCACACCATTCCCCCTTGGCAAAGTCGGTCTCTCCAAGGAACCGGACTACACCAGCCTTAGTGCCACCAACCTAGAAGAGGAATAAAAGGTGAGACTTTGGCAAGATGACTCCTTTGGTAAACGCATTTGCTACCACAGGATGCAAGCCTACAACATGCATCCAACCCTGGTGCCCACATAAATGTGAAAGGAAAGAACTGGTTTCACAAAATGTGTACCCACAAATACACATATATACAATAATAATTAAAATGACTTCAGATTTTCCTGGTTGGAAATAAATATTTGCTATAAAAGTAAAAACTCAACAACATGAGACAGAAGTAAAGCTCATTTATGGCTCCCGTATTCTTGATACTTTCTTATACTTACTTTGCCTCAATGCAGTGGCATACACATATTAAAGACACAATCTACATGCTTGGTTTGGGTTCACTAATTATATTAGCAAATGAAAATTTAAGTACTTTACTAAGGCATGATGGTGTACACCTTTAATTCCAGCACTCGGGAATTGGAGGCAAGAGGTTTAGAAGTTCAAAGTCATTCTGAGCTACATACTAAGTTTAGGCAGAGGCAGGAGGATGCCTGAATTTGAGGCCTGGCTAGTCTGTAGAGTATCAGGGCTACACAGAGAAGCTCTGTCTGGTGGGGGTGGGGGAATTTTAAATACTTAAAAAATGATTGAATCTACTGGTTTTCACACTATGAAGGTTTTGTCTCCTTACAACTGTTAAAAAATACCACTCCTGGGCTGGAGAGATGGCTTGGCAGTTAAGAGCTCTGACTGCTCTTCCAGAGTTCCTGAGTTCAATTCCCAGGAACCACATGGTGGCCCACAACCATTTGTAAAAGGATATGATGCCTTCTTCTGGTGTGTCTGAAGGCAGCAACAGTGTACTCACATACATAAAATAAATAAATAAATCTTTTTTAAAAATGCCACCCCTCACAGTTTTATTCACATGAAGGGTTCAAAGCTGAGATCCTTTTTAAATATTTTCCCAACCATTTTAATATACATATGAACATTAGTTATCATCAAATTATCCCATCAGCATTATCATGTTTTCTCTCACGCATACATGAGTACACACATTTGTGCCTTGGTCCAGGTTCATACATGGCAACAACATTTTAATCACTGCTGCTTAGCAACCTGCATGACATCTCCCAGCACTCACTTCCTTTACCACCACACTTCTTCAGAACACGCTTTCCATTTTCTCCCCTTTTCCCTGAGCTTTGTGTCATTCGCCAGCCCAGTATGGAAGACTGAACACAGAGCCTTGTGCTTGCCAGGCAAGCACGGCCACTGAGATCTAGCTCCCGTCTCTCTTTACTTTTATTTACCTGTCTATCTATCTATCTATCTATCTATCTATCCATCCATCCATCTACTTTTATTTTATGTGCATTGCTGTTTTGCCTACATGTATGTCTGTGAGAGGGTGGCAGGTCTCCTGAATTGGAATTACAGACAGTTGTGAGCTGCCATGTGGGTGCTGGGAAGTGAATCCTGGTCCTTCAGAAGGCAGCCTGTGCTCTTAACCACTGAGCCAAGTCTCCAGGCCCATCTCTTCTCCCTTTTGGAGACAGGTTCTCACTAAGATGCCAATCTGTACTGAACTCATCTGTGCCACAGGCAGGTCTTGAACTTTTTTATTAGACAGGATCTTACTATGTAGCCCCAGCTGGCCTGGAATTCACCAGCTCACCATGCAGACCAGGCCAGGCTCAAACTCAGAGAGATTCACCGGCCTCTGCCTTCTGGGTGCTAAGACTAAAAAGGTATGCCACCGCATCTAGCGAGGCTTTGAACTTCCTGTTCTGGCTTTATAAACAACCAGAAGTAAAGATTTGCACTACTAGGCCTAACTTAGGTTTGGGTTATTTTTTCTCTTTTTCTTATTTTTTTTTCCCAAAACTTCACTGTAGGTGCTGGAGAGATAGCTTGGTGTTTAAGAATGCTTGTTGCACATATAGAGGATCTGGGTTTGGTAGCTTGCAAACATTTGTAACTTCAGTTCCAAGGGATCCAATCCCCTATTCACGTACACACATGCAGACAAAATATTCATACTTATAAAATAAATAAATGTAATTTTTTCATTGAGGTAAAAACAACATAATACTTTTAATACCCACTGATAGATAATCAGTGTTGACACCTAGTTTTATTTCCCACTCTCTATCACTGTGGTTCCAATATAGGCTGACCACACTAAATCTCACACTGAAGGCAAGGGTGTAGCTCAGTCATAGAAGGCTTGCCTAGCACACACAAAGCCCTGGATGTGATCCCCAGAACCACATAAACCAGGTGTGGTGGCAACCCCTATAATCTCAGTACTCAGGAAGTAGATGCAAGAGGCTTAGAAGTTCAAAGTCATCCTGGGTTATATAATAAGTTTAAGGACAATGCAGGATATATGAAACCCTGTCTCAAAAACAAAACAAAACCCTCACTTTGAAGCTTGGTTTCCAGTGCTAGTGTCAGGAAGTGGGGCCTACCAGATGGGTTAAGGGGAGAAGAGTGGAGCCCTCATAAATGTACTGATGTCTTTCTGCTGAGTTAAGCCCTAACAGGATTAGACACCAGGAACACAGACTGTCATAAAGCAAGGTTGGCTTCTCTGAGTTCCTCTCTGGACACACACATTGACTGTCCTGCCATGAAGCCCTCACAGAAAAAAGTCAGCATCACGTTCCGTGATGTCCCAACCACCAGAACCACAGCCCAAGATTAATTACCTAGCATCAGAATTCTCCATGGCAACAGAAAACAAACTAGGAAGCATCTGGGCTCATCCTCACCTACGTAGAACTCAGGGGCTGCTAGAATATATGAGACCCTATGTCAAAAAATATAAACGAATGAGCAAAAAAATCGAAACAAAACCAACTCAGACACATGTTCCGCTAATTAGTATTCCACTGAGCAGATGTACCACATATGTCTTTTACCCATTTTTTCCTTGGGGATATTCTTTTTTTTTTTTTTTTTTTTTTGGTTTTTCGAGACAGGGTTTCTGTGTAGTCCTGGCTGTCCTGGAACTCACTCTGTAGACCAGGCTAGCCTCAAACTCAGGAATCCGCCTGCCTCTGCCTCCCAAGTGCTGGGATTAAAGGCGTGCCCCACCACTGCCCGACCCTTGGGGATATTCTTATGTTGTGATTTAAAAATAAAAATTTATTGAAGAGGCTGAGGCAAGATTGACATGTGTGAAACCAGCCAGGGCTAACTAGTGAGTTCTAGATCAGGCTGGACGCTCCGGTGAACTCTGTCTCAAAGAAAAAGAAGCTTTATATATAGTGAACTCATGCACTTTGAAATGCAATTTGTTATTTTGTTTCTGGATCCACATTCACTTAGTATTGATTTTCTTTTGTGAATGTGAAAGTTAGAGGAGAGCATTCAGTACTCAGTTTACCTGCTACATAGGTTCCAGGAGACAAACATAGGTTGTCAAGCTCAGTAGCATGTGCCTCTACCCACTGAGCCGTCTCGCCAGGCCCCTCTAGTCTACCATATGACTATCAAAGCAAATCTAAAAGCTGGCATGGTGGTTTACAACTATAATCCCAGCAACTTAGAGGTGGAAGGAGGAGGCTCCAGAACCCAAGAGTCAGGCTGGAGAAATATGTACCCCAGGCTGTCCTTGAACTCACTCAATAACCAAATCTGGTCTCACGCTCACAATCCCCATGCGTCAGCACCCAAGTGCTGCGATTACAGGCAAGCAGCACCATGTCTGACGTAACACTGCCGACTTATCAGAAACATGAAGGCACCAAAGTTCTCATCAATTTCTTTTTAATTAGCTGTGCCTGTTTGCTATATCTATAATCAGCTTAGCTCTTGATAGGTAGAAGCAGTAAGATCAAGAGTTCAAGGTTATCTCTGGCCAGGTAGCAAGTTTGAAGTCCATCTGGGCTACCTAAGACCTGAAGCTCAAAAAAATTTAATTATTACTATGTGGTACTACGGATTGTTTTCCAGGGTCTTGACTAGTTGCCCCTGAGCTATAGGGCAAGTCCCAATTTTTTTTCATCTTAAACTATAAGTATGAATTTCTTTAACAAAAAAATTAAATTAGACAGATGGTGATGGCTCATGCCTCTAATCCCAGCTCTCTGATGAATTCCAGCCCAGCCTACTCCATGACTACACAGGAAAACCATGTCTTGGGGGGGAAATTAAATTAAAACTAAGTAAGGTAGGCAGGTGTGGTGCCATGTACTTCTAGTCTCAGTGCTCAGGAAGCAGAAGCAGGAGGGTATTTAGACAGAGGCAAGAGGTAAACGCCGTTGATCTCAGCAAGTGACCTGAAGCACAGGCAAGTGGATCTCTGTGAGTTCCAAGCCAGCCAAGGCTACATAGTGACACCTTGTCTCAAAAAAAACAGAAGAAAAAAAAAACTTTTTTAAACCCCAGAAACAAACCTAAGGTTTAGGCCAGCCTCAGGTACCACAAAAAATTCAGGCCAGCTTGGACTACATGAGATTTTTTTCTTTGAAAAAAAATAAAATAAAATAAAACCAGGGACTAGAGAGATGGCTCAGCGGTTAAGAGCCCTGGCTGTTCTTCCAAAGGAAGATGCCTGCACCCACATTGTGGCTCATAACCATCTCCAACTCCAGTTCCAGGGATCCAACACCCTCTTCTGGCATCAGTGGGTACTGCATGTACATGGTGAGAATATATAAATGCAAGAACGACATTTATAAACATAAAATAAAATAAAGCCTAAGCTATGTAAATTGATAAAATCTGGTATGGCTTCAAAATGGCACATATTCACTTATGCCACATATATAACACATATATGTATACACATACATATGTATATGTGTGTATTGTATACATTATATATCATATACCTACACACATACAGGAAGACAGCCGACAAGGGGTTACCTGACGAAGGGGTTACCTGTAGGAAGAAGTGATGACCGCAGACTGACAGTGACGCACTCTGGTTTTTTGAGACAGGACTCTCGCTGGGACTTGGTGCTTGCCGATTAGGCTAAATTATCTAGCATCGAGCCCAGAGCCTCCCTGTCTCCGCCTCCCCATCCCTATAAATGCACACCAGCAGTAGTGTGTGCTTCCATGCTTGGCTTCTTACATGGGTGCTGGAGATCAAACTCAAGTCCTCACGTTTGCAAGGCGAACACTTTGCTGAGCTATTTTACCCCCATGCCCCTGCACAAGTATTTCTTTATTTTTGTTTTGTCTTGGTTGTTTTTGTTTTTTGACAAGGATCAGGCTACGCAGCATAGCTAGTCTTCAAACTTCCAATCCCCTTGCCTCTGTCTCACCAGTGCTGAGATTATAGGCATGCAACTCCATGCCTGGCAATTTTTTTACCTATTAAAAGTTTAAATCAAACATTTCAGATTTCTACATCTATTTCTCTCTGTCTCTCTGTCTCTCTGTCTCTGTCTCTGTCTCTGCCTCTGCCTCTGCCCCTCTGCACCCCACTCTCGATTTTGGTTTTTTAAGTCAGGGTTTCTCTGTTAGTCCTGGCTGTCTTGGAACTTGCTCTGTAGACCAGGCTAGCCTCAGATTCAGAGATCTACCCACCTCTGCCTTCCAAGTGCTGGGACTAAAGGGGCATGCCACCACCATGCAGCCACTATGTTAAATTTCTAAATCCTAATTTCTTTAACTAATTTTAAAGTTAAAATGCTTATTTCTAGATCAAAGATTTATGTTTAAAAAACAAATCAGCATGTTTAGCCAGGTATGAGGAAAGTTTGAGACACAGCACTGCTCCAGTCTAGACTGCAAAGAGAGGCCATATCTCAAAGAACAAGAGGAAGAGGAGGAAGAGGAAGAGGAGGAGGAGGAGGAGGAGGATCATTGGAAGAGGAGGGGCAAGAAGGTGTTACATACAGAAATGAAGGGCCAGTGGCCATAGTGACTTGTGACTCACCAGCACCCTATCTCCGATCTTGAGTTCTCGCTCTCCCTTCTTGACAGAGCCAGCTTCTGAAAGGTTGGAGATTGACTCACTGGCGGTTTTCGTAAGGTTGCTAATTTGAGGTGTAGCTGAAGTTTCTTTTGCCGTTGACTGGGACGGTTTGTGGGGAATGTTTGAGGGAGTGGCTGGAGAAGAGGACACCATGGTGGCTGCCGCAGTGGACAGAGGTGAAGCAGCTCTCCCAGGAGCTGTCTGCAGGCCGTTGGCTTCATCTTCTGCTTGCACCTTCCTTGTTAGCTTTGAAGGTCGGGTAAATATGCCCTTTAAAGGTTCACACTGGAAATACCGCACTCCTGCCACCGAGCCATCATTCTTTCCTATGGGTTCATCTAAAACAATCCCAGCCCACTGGCCTGGTGCAAACTGAGTTTCCCCAAGAAACTGGATAAATCCAGGTTTATTCCCATTCACCCAAACACGTTCTCCAACTCGAAAGTCATCTACAAATTCCTCTTGGGTCTCGGAGGATGGAGGGCCCGAGGATTTTTCACTGGGTATTGTCTTCTCCACTGGAGCTGCAGCTGAGAGCAAAAGAAGAATCAGAACAGGTCCAACGTCATACCTGAGCAGGTATCTTCCAACAAAGAAAAACAGAACAGACTGGAGAGATCGCTCGATGGCTAAAAGCACTGGCTCCTCTTCAGGGGGCCCAGGTTCAATCCCCAGCACCCATAATGGTGGCTAATAACAATCCATAACTCCAGTTCCAGGGGACCGGAGATGCTCCTCTGGCCTCATCCAGCAACAGACACACACATGGTGCACAGACATACACAGAGATTAAATAATCCCACACATAAAATAATAAAAAAAAATACTTTAAACATAAAAGGAGAAAACAATAGCAATATAAACAGACCATGACTTGTTGGACAAATTCTTTTTTTTTTTTTAAGCAAGGAAGCAGAACACTGTCAAAGCTCTGTGAGCTGGGGGGTAAGGTTTATTCTACATTTGCAACTAAGACTGGAAGTCATCAAGGCAAGAAAAAAAAAAAACCATGGTACTTTCCCAGCCCTGTATTTATAGTTCTCAGTTCACTCCGACCCTACTCCCTTCCTGAACATTTCAAGAATCCAGTCAGATCCACTAAGACCCATTTACTCCTATGTTTGAGTAGACAAGCTAACAAAACTCATACCATTTAACCAGAGGCATACAATCATGCTTAAAGAACGAAAGGACTCAGGGCTGGGGCCCCTGCCATGTCTACTATAACACTATTCCATAAAACCTACTCCTTTGATGGCGAAGGCAAAAACAAAAAGATAGCACCTAGCCAAATGCCCAGGGAAGGCAAGATACTTTTGTGCAACTTCTATCTTATCGCAAAGAGAGTAGTTAATTTGTCAGGAATGTGTGTTTACATTGAAGACTTACCCATTATCATCTGTAAGGACTTATGAAACAATGTTATTGGGAGACTGCCATCTATGAGGTATATCACATCTCAGGAGGTGACATAACCTCTCTGAGTTTAATCTCGTCCCTTTGTAGGGAGGCAGTGACGTCTTCCTTTGGGAACATTTAAGAGGATTGAATGACTTCATGTATTTATTCATCCTCTATGTGTTTAGGGAGCGCCTGCATCTCTAGGTCTAGTCCCAGGTGTTGTTCTATGTCAAGAAACAAAGCAAGACAGCACAGACTGTGCCCTCCAAGAGGTCAGAAGCGAGAACTGGGAAGACAAGAAAGCAGGCAGCCTGAGTACTGTGTTCAGTACTCAGACAAGCCCCTGCTTCCACCCAAGAGCTGACATGTGCCCTGAGGCCTAACTGACAGTAAGGTATAAACAAAACTGGAAGAACACCAAAACTGTGAACAATACATTTCTGTTGTTTATAAATTCCCAGCCTAAAATATTTTGTTAAAGCAACCTGAATGGACTGAATCACTCATTCATAATATGTCTGGGAAAGTTCTTCCTCATTGGTTTGAGAGCCAACTACTGATCAATTAATGTCAAAAAAAAAAAAAAAAAAAAAAAACTTTTAGACCAGACTAGTGTTTGTTTTCTTGGAATTTCATAGAGAAAGACCTGGAAAAATTAAGAAAGAGAAATAAAAAAAAATACTTTAACACTGAAGGGATCAAATAACTCAGTGACATAACTTTACTGACTACTTTAACTACTCATACTAAATAGACTAAATTAAAAAAGGACAACTTCCAAAAATATGACTCAAAAAAATTCTAGATCTGGTCAGGCAGTGATGGCACATGCCTTTAATTCTAGCATTTGGGAGGTAGAGTTAAGTGGATCTCTGAGTTTGAGGCCAGCCTGGTCTACAGAGTGAGTTCCAGGACAGCCAGGGCTACACAGAGAAACCCTGTCTCGAAAAAACAAAAAAAAAAAAAAACAAAAACAAAAAAAAAAGTAGCCATGCATGGTGGCAAATACCTTTAATCCTAGCACTCAGGAGGCAGAGGCAGGCAAACCTCTGAGTTTGAGGCCAGCCTGGTGTACAGAGTGAATTTCAGGACAACCAGAGGGCTATTCAGAGAAGCCCTGCCTCAAAACGAAATAAAATAAAGATGAGAAGTAAAGTCTTACCAGCAGCAGGTGTCTTCAAGGCTGTGCTTCCAGGCTTCAGGAGCTTGGTGGGGGCCCTCAGCCCGCTGGGCTTTAGCATACTCATTGTCTCGGAAGGTCAAGATGCTTATCCCTTGTCTGCTGCCACTATCTTTCCCCAATCATCCATACAAATGTGGGTGTTTCTATAGAGAACTTAGTCTCTCGGTTAAATCTGAAAAAAAGAAATATATCAAGAGAAAGTTACTCCAAATTCCTAATTGGGCAGAGTAGTGGTACAGGCTTTTAATCTGAGAGATAAGGTTTTTTGGGTTTTTTTTTTATTTTTGTGGGGATAGGTGCTTCTGGAGAACTCACTAATTTTTAAGACTGTAAAGAAGCCCTAAGAAAAGTGTTTCCCAAATGTTGCTTTTTTTTTTTTTTTTTTTTTTTGGTTTTTCGAGACAGGGTTTCTCTGCGTAACCCTGGCTGTCCTGGAACTCACTCTGTAGAAAGATAAAGACTAGTTTAAAACTCACAAAAATCACCCACCTCTGCTTTCCCTGGAGCTGGGGTTAAAGGCCTGAACCACCACACCAGGCTAGGAATTAAAGAGGTTTTAAATCTTCACTTTTCAAGGGCTTCCGGCACCAAGTACCTCTCACTCAGACCCTTTAAGGCTCAGGTGCCGAGTAGGCATGCCTAGCACGTACTGCTTTCATCACAGCTGCCTCCAACACTTCGGAAAGGGCTGTGAATACCAAAGCGTGATTTGCAGTCTATGGGAAGACCAGATGTGTATGCACAGAGCAACACCTCCACTGTGCGTTAACATCGAGGGGTTTTATACACCAAACAGGTGTGGCATCTCCACAGGCAATTATCAGATGCACTGGTGCTCCCACTGAAGTAGCAGCACCACCTAGAACTTGTCAGAAATGAGGACCTCAGACCCTATCAAACCCTGGCGGACTCAGCCATCGGGAGTTTACTAAGCCACTCAGGAGATCCTGATGGGAGCCTCTGAGAACCACGACTAAATCACTGATCAAGGAATAGATGGTGGTTCAGTTTCTCAATCACACGCCCATGAATCATTCACAGCTGACCCGACAGCGCCTCAGGACTTTGCCTCCTCCATGGCTTTTCACGGGTTCTCCCTGCTTTCCAAGTCTTCAGCTTTACCTGCTGAAACCTACACTCACCTGCTTTCCAAAATCTGCTCAGCTCCTCAGCAGTGTAAATGTGTTCATCCTTCTCTTTCCATTTTGTTTGGTCTGTCTGCTATTTGTTTATGACAGGGTTTCATGGATCCAGGAGACTCAGACTTCCCAGGTAGCTGAGAATAACTGAACTTCTGATCCCCCTGCCTCCATTTCCTGAGCACTGGGATTATATGCATGCTTAACTAGGTTGGTGTGTGTGTGTGTGTGTGTGTGTGTGTGTGTGTGTGTGTGTGTGTGT